AATCTTTTCATTTACATTATTACTTCTTCTTACTTTTCCTAATTGCATTTTTGCTTATCCTTAAATGGGCACATTTTCCCAAAGTTTCAGCCTTCTATATTTTCTCCTTCCCGAGTTATGGATTTTCCCGACAGAATTTCCAACCCCACGTACGCAGGGTCCAGACGTATGTGGGAAATGGTACCGCGGTTCTGGGATGGTACTTGGCCGGGTACCCAATAGCAAAATCTCGGCATTGAAACTTGCTTGGCTGCCGAATTGAAATACCCGGACAGACGAACACACACACACACACGAATGTACACACACACATACATACATACATACACACACAGACAGGGTCGTCCCAATATGCGTTTTTGCAATTTGCATATAGAACGCACAGACAGGGTCGTCCCAATATGCGTTTTTGCAATTTGCATATAGGCAAAAACGCATAAAAAGCACATATCATCATCCTGCAACTCTGGAACATTGGCCAAAATGGCATGAGTTGCATTTATTACAGCAATGGCCGTAACCAGTATTACTTCAATTGCTTCCTGGTTCTGGAAAAGCTCCTTCATGAATGCCCCTGTAGAGCGGGTTTTACCTGTCCCTGCTGGGGCCTGTTGAAGTAAGACCGGTATGTTTCCCAACAGAGCTTCCACTACCTCCATCTGCTCTTTGATTAGAACAGCAGCAGCTTGTGCTGAAACCGGCGATGTTGGTAGACTGAGGAATATTCCGGTTTAATTCCTAGAAAGGCCTCCACGTTGTGGATATTAAGAGTTTTCAATCGAAGACAAGACTCGACCGCCCTATTTTTAAATTGCTTGGTACGAAATTCGAATCCCGTATTAAGCATCGCCCGGCTGTACGGCCATATGAATAAATTCTTCAACATTTTCCAGGGCTTCCATGTCCTGGGGGTAGAATCTCAACGTCACTCCCATACTTCCATTCTCGTCCCAAAACGCGGTTTTTATTATCGCTCGCAGCATGCATTCTGTGTCGAGTAGTTCCACCAGCATAATTGTTAATTCCTCCCAAAACTTTAGCCTGTGTGCTAGCAGCTGCGAATCTCTTGCAGCACGTATCTGCATGGCGAATTCCCTATAACTCGCCCGTCTCACTACACCCGTAAAAGCGGCAGTGTCCATGATGCATATTTGCTTCCTTTTAACGTATGAACAGACAGCCAGAAGAGTGCTTTCATACCTAGAGATTTCTTGAGCTGGTGATGCGGAGCTGTCCCATTCTTGAAAGGGATTGATCTTGAATGGAATCCTTGGCTTATTCGCACGGTGAATTTATGCCAGCATTGCCCGGTTGTGTTACGTGCGCCGCGTTTGCTTGCTTACGGTAACGAGCCGGCAAGATGAAATTTCTTCCTATCTGGACACCCGTTGGTAAAAATACCTGAAGAGTCCATACTAGATAGCCTGCGCGTGGCGCCCAATTGTTGTCCCATACCACTTGGTAAGGTCGTGCCATAAAGTCAGCATCGTGGTACGGACTAATGAATTGGTAGCGGCCATTTCTGAGTTCTGAAGGCGTTGCTAACGCAGCCGGAATGTAATAACTTTCATAGCTGTTGTGAGTATCTACATACCCGTTCACAGCGATACCGGAGCCCTTGGGGAAGTGTTCGACATAATAACACCCATTCCCGTATCACAAATGTTTTTATATTCTTGAGGTGTACCATTGAGTACCACTATTGTGAATCGCTTTGCCTTGACGTGGTCACCTATATGCAGCTTGTTTAAGGCTCCATCTTCAAAGGAGTATTCTATGCTGCTATCCTGGTTTAAGGCATGCATTGCTGGTGCTTTGCGTAGTAAATGCAGTTGCTGTTCAGGGTGTATTACTACATTAGCGTACTGGTCTAGCACCAGCGCTACTACATACGTTACCATATGTGAAAAAGCATATGGAGCAGAGTATGCCAACCGGGATGTGAACTAGGGGATATTACCTCCGAAGGGCTGACCTGCCTAACACAGGTCCATTCCTCTTGTGCGTCCGGAGACGGATTCTAATGCCCGGAAGTTGTCCACTCATTAAATCAATAGAGCTAGAACTGCTGTTCCAGTTCGCACCCTCAGATGCCTCTGTGAGAAAAGCAGTGGGTGTATGGGAACACGAAGCCACAACCTTTTTGGTACTATGCCGAAATTTTCACGAAAGGAAACAAATATTGGAACACGAAGGAAAAAAAAAACGTTGATTGGCGATGACGAGCTTCTTCCGGAGAATTGATGCGTACAGAAAAAGTGTGGTTACCGAACCTGGGTACCGCGTATGTCAGTAGATCGAAATTACCTTCCTGGAAGATGTCGGGCCAGACCAAAGTAAGAGGTTTTATTACAGGTATGGGATATCAGTTACAGACGCACAAGCGTAGAATTAAGTCGATCACGAAGGGGAACGAAGTAGATCACCGGTGAGACGAAGTAGATTGAGGGAGACAACGAATCGCGTCAGACGGCACGGTTGTACTCGGACCTCGAACATGGGATTGTCCGGCTTATATACCGCTCTTCCTGCAATTGCTATCATGAGTCACAATCTCCGACAGCGGGGATTGAGAATATACCGCATGAAAATGTAAGACGAAATTGCCCATCGTAGATCACATCTACGGTGGGAAAAGTGGCGGAAGGATTGGTAGGATGGGAACGAGGGAGTCGGACTCCTGTCGGAGATTCGATCTCCGCTGGGAGCGT